GACACATTTTTGGGGCTCTAGCAAGGCAAAATGAATGACAGTATTAAGTTAGGAAGGGGGTGGTTGGCAGAAAAATCGTAACGGCTCGAGGGGCTAGGTATATGCAAAAGTCCTAAGGTGGAATATTTGAAAGCCTGCAGAATTGTAGCAATCCTCTCGCAAATCTGGACTGACCACGCCACACAGGTAACTGTGTTTCTGTTTAAGCCACGTAACGTGCCACCCAAAATATACAGTACGACAATTTTGTGGCGGGGGGAACAAAGCTGTTACGGCAGGGGGTACTAAAGATATCTAAAAGTCGTCAGTTAGCAATATCCGAAGTCTGCAGAATTGGATCAACAAGTTCGTGCGCATGGGAGGGGCTTCAGAAGTTCTAATCTGTGACAGCACCGCATCAGTTTAACTACCTCTCCTCCATCTCGAGAAGACGATTAGCGCACAAGAATATTGTTCCAGTTTAGGCGTACACATTGGCGGTCGAAACTGTCTGCACCAAGTATGCATTGTTTCATCTTGAAATGTCTCCATTCCTGCGCGACTCAGACAACCGGGTGCCTTTGTGTGATGCGGTTATAAGCCAGACGCGCTTACTGGGATACGCACACCGGGCAAGACACTGGAATAGCATACGCCATCTTATACAGACGATCATAAGATAAACGTCTACGGAGACTAGTAGCAGCATTAGAATATTAAACATGAAAATCTCTCTGACATTTGTCGCAAAACCACCCGTATATGGAGGATAATGCTTCCTAATCTAATGTGGATGTGGAAGGTCTGTCTTGCGCCTCCACAAAAGGGCGCATGTGTTTTGTTTAGTTTAAAATGCATCGCCAGTTGAAAGCAGCTTGATCGCTCTCCTGGCAGTCTCTAGTTAATGGATTTATGTCTGTCATTGTTGCCGTGCGATTTATAAATCTTTCTTTCAGTGGTGGTCGACAGTGAAGGGTCGAATAAACACTCCTCTTTAACTTTTCGACGACCCAAAACTACACTAGTTGGCTAGGAATATCAGGCGCATATGCTGCTAAACTCTATTGCTAGTTTACGTTTCGCAAGCAGTACAAGGCGTGCAAATAAACACCGCAAACTCTTGGAGGCACAGAGTGTACTTCGATTAATAAAAGCAGTTTTAATCCTATGCTACTAAGTTTAGTAACTCGATCCTCGACTTAGGTCGGAAGTCACAGGTGGCGATGTCGCGATCTTTATGTAGTCTTTACGATATTCCCTTTTCATTTGGAATCCGGGCTTGTCGACTATGCATGCAACACAAAGTTTGATGACATGCCTTGGCCTTGGTTCATGCCATCAGAACCCACTCTAACTTTCTGTATACTTGAAGAAGGAGACACGATCGCCGGGACAAGAGCCTCATTAGCCTGACATTTCGGATTCCTATTTGAATCCACCAACAGAGACAAAAAAGCAGAAACGGATGGTTGTTGCACAAGGGGCTGCGGTATTTATAGGATGCAGTAGCCATGCTACCGCATACCTATGAACATTCACGGCTCCCAACTTCCTCCGTGATCGTCCCACTTGGTGTGATCATGGCTTGATGGCCGACATCCGAGTCGATAATTGCTGCAATTTCATCACGTGCATTGTATGTAGGCGTGATGATTGCTCGACCATCTGACGCACCGTACCCGGTGTTGGGAACAGTGTTCACCTCTGCCCTCCCCGCATGGCTTGTTACTCCGCCTAGGGGAAGTGTTAGCACGGAGTATGGAGTCGGAAGATCGTTGCACTTGTTGATGGACTGGGGGCCAGTAAACCATGATCCCAGTAGCTCCTGGCTCGCGCGGTTTTCACCTCTTGCGAGAATTTCGGCCTCATCGAATTTGAATATGTGACTGGATCTCGTCGAACGAGCCGCAACATGAGAGCTAGCGTCATTTCTGCGCACTGCTGCCGCGTGTTCGGCCATTCTCGTTCGAGCTGTATTCCGGTTTCTCCGACGTAGTTGCTTTGTCCGCAAATGCACAAGATCCGATAAACGACTCCAGACTTCAAGGCTAATAAAGCTATTGTACCGGCGATCGTGTCTGTTTCTTCAATACTACTTCCTTGGGCTCGTCTCTTTGCTTCTATTTCTGTACACTGTCATGATATCGAACTTAGGTGGATTAGGGTTGAAGAAATATGGTAGATGCGGCGAAAGTCCACTGTAAACTGCAAACGAGTTCACGCCCAATTCACAGCCCAAGGAACAAATGGATATGCATTCTAGTTAAAACGGAAGTACGGAAGATCTTGCCCATCTTGATTATGAAGTAAATAGCCTTAATCTTAGATCAGGAATTAGCCCAGCGTCTCGCGATAAGCTTTGGTGCATGTGCTGACACATTGTTACGCATAAGGTTATAGGAAGCGAGCATAACTGAGAAAGACATATTGGGTTTTTACGTGAGCAGAATCTGGTTTCAGGTGGAAAACGACTTATGTACTCACTTGACAGGTACTTAGGCCGCAACTGCGAATTCGTCATCTCAGATGAAAGGTGCGACCTTATTATTCGTTTGAAAATGTCAGCGCTTGCCAACACCAAGAAAAGAGAAGAGACGTATCCCATGACGAAGTCATGATTAGGGCGGCACGATCGCCAGCAGAAGCGATTTATTTTCCCGACGCTTCAGCTTCCTGCTCGAACGCATCCACAAAAACATTAGCAGATACGGATGGTTTATGTATAATGGGTCGCAGCATTAGCAGGACAAACTCACCATGCTGTCGCCTACCTATGACAATTCACGGCTCCACCTCCTCAGCCTTAATTGAGGTTTGTTGCGCTGGGGTGATAACTGTTCGATAGCCGACCTTCCAGTTGTTAATGCATGCAATTTCATCACGGGTGTTACATGTCAGACCATTGCAGACAGCATTCGACATCTCTGCTGCATGTCAAACTCTGAAAGCTCAGTTTTTGTAGCCTCCACGTCGTCGATAACACCGCGTACTGCTGTAACTACAAGGAGTTTCAAAGAACTCAAATAATCCCCTTATAAGCTTTTGTCTCTGATGATGGGTTTGAAAAGGAATGTACAACGTCAGGCTTATAAGGCAATTGTTCCAGTAACCATGTTTTTCATTGTTACATTTTATCAAGCCTCTCTGCAGGCAAGCACCCCGAACCAGCGATCACCAAAGCATGCGACGGCTGCAGGCGGACTACACTCGGTAGTTTGGAAGATTTTCGTTCTCGAGGACCCATCGTTTTACTTAATAACATGACTGTGTCTGAGAAAATTTGGGTAGCAATCAGAATGGCATCAGCGAACATAAATTATATGCTAATGAAGAAAAGTTTTGAACCAATAACTTGAATGACTACTCTATCGCCATTAGGTCGGGAAAATTACGGCAGGTTATTCTATTTAAAAATGACTTCAAAAGGAACGTTTACCCGTATTGTGGCCAAAGCGTTTCCGAAACCAAATTCATGGTGCATTAATTTGTAGTGATCGTCAACATCTCACGGTTTCTCAAACACATGCCTACTTAAGAGACCTGCAAAACAGTAAATGATACAATTCCAAGGAATGCATCTATGGTTGAATTACATCAAACTTCTAAAGGCCAAGAATTCATCTCGCCACTTAGGACGAAAAATCAGGGGGGTTATGTCGCCCGCATAATGTGGCCTACATAGTACTCGCAATAACTTGGTAGTGCGGCTGGCCCTCTCTCTGTTTCTTGCTGGGTGAAAGCCTTGTGCACGCTTAGGCGTGTATTCGCTCAGTGCCAACCACCTGCTCCCAATCTCTCATCCGGTATACGTGGCTTTGCCTGCCCTATGTGACTCGCTGTACAGTGAAATCGGAATCCGCTCTAATTTCGTCCTGTAATCAGGCAAAAAAATTGTTACACGCCGCCATTGTCACGCAACCTAATTTGCCTTCATAGCTCCAGTGTTAACATCCATCAAATACATGCAGGCATTCAAGTGTACGTAAAAGGACTCCCAGGTGTTGGATTCACAGAAAATGGCTACAGGCCGCCACTTTCATTTAACTGAATAGTCTCGCTCTCCTAAACCCCTAATGTCACCTCAGGAGACGTGATAAACTCTGGCGCGTAGGCTGCCACTTAGTCTCGCACACACACTGCTTTTTAGTGACTCCTAGGAAATTGGCCTGATTAAAAACCAGACCTTGTATTTCACCTGAGTTTCAAAAGCGTTACAGTGATATGACCGAAAAACGGCTGCACGCAACCTCGTCGTTCAAAAATTTATTTACTCAATCGACTGCCTGTCAAGACGCAAATACCAGTCTATCATTCTATCTGACGACGGTTTCATTATCTTCCATTGGAAAAATTGAACATTTGCTTGTACTCTCATCTTCGTGGCATGCCTAATTCAGAGAGTGCAGTTCCCTTAGCCACATTACGTGGATGGCGCTTGTAGACAATTCAATACTATTCAGAACGATGCCACTAAGTTCAAGTAGCTAACCAGAAAAATTTCAATGGACTTACTAATTGTTAAATTTCGTCAAACCCTAAAGCCAATGATCGGCATGGTTTGGGAGACCAGCAGGCTGACTACAGTTTATTTATCTCTGAAAGTGAATCATATCGCAATTAAATTCTTGTTCTTTGGAAATTCTAGCATCGAGCCAAACGGCCTCAGCCGAGAAAATGTCTCTGTCTACTGATGTGCAACTTAGAAGCGGTGATTATGTTGCGAACATGTCATTGCCTGCGGTGTCGCCACTGATTCAGTTGAATAAAGCGAAATCGTGGTAGGAAAATCACGTTTTGTGGAAATTGCTTTGTCTTAAAACGCGGAACGTTTTTCCACAACAAATATCTGCAATATTCTAAAGAATATATTGATTTTACTGAGTTCGTACCTCATGGGCTTTCCATAAAATGGTCGCATTTGCAAACTTTCAAGGGGGTGCGATTAGGTAGGCTGATCTTACTCATGGCTATTGGCTTATACGTTGTATATAAAGAACAAGAGCGCACGTATTGGTTCGGAAATGTTTTCGCAATTTCTTTTTCTGGCACTAGCTTATGGCGTCTCCGGACAGGGTGAATTTATTTCATTATTGCATTTTCCAAAAACCTATGGTTTTAAACTCTTTCATTATTCGATACAAAGTTAAATCGGAACACATTGCATCATAAAAGTTGCACTTTAGCGTTTCTTTTACAGAGGTAAATAACACCTTGGAATTTAAACAGAACAGCGATTATGCCTATACGAAAAGGCTCTATGGGAACGTTGAGGTAATGATTGCCTGGTGGGTGATGCGACGATTTTCAATTTTGATTTTGGTAACAAAATCTTTTCTTCGCATAGTACATAACCGTTGATGGCGTGCGCATTTCTAAGGCCGCAGATGGGACGCACTGTGTCGCTCCGAATGACTGCTGGGAAATTATCCATCGTAAGATATTCACTTGACATTTTATTTATTTAATAAACCCATTAAGTCAAATCAAATTATTGCATATTGAACAGAAAATTGCTAGTTAGCTGCAAAAGCAGTCCGTTTTGCAGGAAGATGCCTAGCAACGATTTACTATTAGGAGTGAAATTCTATAAAATATCACAAGTTTTGTTTGCATGCGCGCATATGTGCAGGAGAGGATTGACAACAATGGAGACGCAGGGGGAGAGATGGATTTCCTAACGCGATAGGCCAGCGTGTCTCTTATATACTGTGTATATCCGGTCGCAACTGATAGAACAAGAGAACCACGAATATATACACGACCGCAACGGACAGGACCGCGAGTGCTTAGCCGCACTAGACTTTTAACCAACAGGTAGTGCGATCGAGCCGCAGGTGTAGCACAATTCGCGACTGCCTATGGCCCCCTGGCGACAGTTAGAAGCCATAAAGGACCATTCAAATCTCCCTTGTTTTTGTTGGTAGTGTTATTCTGCCTATGTATATCTGACAGAAGCGAAAATGCCCGTCCCGGAAATATATAAGATGACGAGACGATCTCCCGAACAATACCTGCATTGACTTGACGTTAAAGAAGCAAACATGCCAGAGGTTAGTGTTCTACCACGCCTCACAGGATTTATAGGTGGTGATGATCTCCTAGCCACTGGTTTACCTGGCCAAGTGGTTAGAGGCCTTGGACTTCTCAATAACAGGTCTGAACTTTGACCCAAGGTGTTCCACATATTGTGGTTAAGTTTGACTGGCTGACGACGGATTATATGCCAGAAATGGCCATTCCAGTCGACCTTTCCATTGTCCTTATTGACATTCTGCATTGATAGATATGCATATATATATATATATATATGTGCAGGAGGCATGCTTACTCCTGAAGTGTCATGAGTTAGTGCAAGTAATTTCTTATGGTACAAAATATGCCAAACTACATAACTCAAAGTCTTACGGCCATAAAAACGGATGTTTTTCATAATAAGTCAAAATTGAGCAAGACGTTTTCGATTCGATAGTTCAAAACTCCATTTATTCAGAAAACTGTATTTTGTTAGCTGAATTAGTTCCTTTTATCTTGCAAGCAATACAATTTCCCATATTCTCCCTTACCTAGTCCTTCGGAAGCAAGATGGAATCATTCGCTCACAGACGGTGTTTTCTTGATGCTTTACCTGTACACATTTATCTGCAAATTTCAGTAGCATGGGGAATGTTGTCGATATAAAGAAAGGTTGAATTTCATCTAAATCTGACCAGTATTCCGTAAGTCAGATTGACTTGAAATAAATCCCCCTCCGATTAATGGGTTTCTGCGCGTCAAATGCATTGAATAAACACAAATAACAACGTCAAACCCATGAAATACTCGCAGTCTCATTTCGGCCACGACATTCTCTGAGTTGGACCGATTGCTGTACATTTGTAAGTAAGGGGATACTAAAAAAAGAAATCTGAGACCGGAATGACCGTTAGCCGTCATCAGCCAGTTATACGCAGTCGCAAGTACTGATCACCTGAGTTTTGAACCTGCGATCTTACCTCATGGAGTTTGACATTCTACCATTAAGCAGGGGACCCGTTTTCCTGCTGGATGCGATCTGAAGAACTTATTATGATAGGTAGGGGCTCCAACGATCGGTTTTACGGAACACACTTGTTCCATTGTGCCTTGATGCTCAAACTGGAACCTTCGAAGTCAGTTGCTCAGCGACGATTATTTTATGCACGTAAGGTGATACCGACAAAGCAAATGCTAATTAATGGTGATACAATGTCCAGTATTAAATAGTTTCCGCTCTGCACGATTAAGTTCCAGATATTCAGAGACAATTAGATTACACTCGAGTAAACACACTAGATTATAATTATGAGTTTATTTGCTCATATTCACGACATCAAGTATATTTGCAACTGCAAAAATGAATGAGCCAAGATTACATTTTCGTAGGCCTTCCTGTGCTGCACAATTGTCTCTCTCCCAAAATTTGCATGTAAATGTTTCTTTTACAAGCTAAACAGTACGTCATCCTTAATGGTTTTCTGAAGGGAGCGCACGCAGCACTCGTGTTGAAGCCTGCGCCTTTAGCTGACAGATGTTTTTTGGAGTACAATACAAAAGTGCCGGCACCCCGAACTGTAAGTTCAAGTAATCTGTTCAGTCGATTTACATTATCATTGTGTTATAGATGTGTTTATTTTCATCTGTCTTCCTGGCAGTCATTAGTGAAGTCACTTATTTAGTTCACAAAAATACAAAGGGTAAACTTGGTGTCCTACTGGTAATTGTGTTTGTTGGTTGCCGATCAGTTGGAATGTATTTTGAGACCAAGGAAACAAGCTAAATTGACCTCTTCTTATTTTAACAGCTTCGGTAATTGCTTTTCCAAAATTCTGCATTTAATGATTTCTCCTTTAGATCAACAGCTTCCTGCTGAAGCAGTATCTGTCTTCGCGAAAGAAATCCTCGAAAATGAAAGACTCATACATATTCTGCTGCTCAATGGAAAACTTGCGGTAATCATGGAGAAATCAATTTATGTTTCTCAAAAATCACGTCAAAATAGTGCTTCTTAGCGTCTTACACGAGAACCGTTAGCGTGTTGAGAAAAGCATGGCATTATTCATTTGAATTCACCTGAGGAGCCTATTTAATTGACGCAGTTGCATGCGTCATTTTATATACTATTTGGAATTGAAAGAAAAGCATTTTTAGTAAATAGATTAATGTCATCTTCATTATCTCCGTGTCAAGTCCACGCTTTGTGTTTGGTTTAACCGAATTGACCTAGCTTTTCATCGGAGTGATTTCATGTTGACCCAACTGTGAAAAATTCGGCGCCTCGAAGGGATTCGAACCCACGCAGTAAGGGGGAAGGCTTTAGTACAGCCAACGCTCTAAACACCTGAGCTACGAGGCCCCGCTGGACGACGCGAGTTTTTATCACACTTGGGTCAAGTTACCTGCCCAACCTACTGCAACGTCTGGAATCCACAAAAGCTGATGCAGTAAGTGGTTAGAGCGTTGGCTGTACTAAAGCCTTCCCCCTTACTGCGTGGGTTCGAATCCCACCGAGGCGCTGAGATTTTCACAGTTGGGTCAACATGAATTATTCAAAATCTGCCAAAATATCAATGAATTACGTGAGCCTAGTAGTCATCTGGTAGATCCTGGGTGAATTACTTAGGAAATCCTGCTTGGGCAGTCAACTTACTGTATCAGCTTTGGTGGATTCCAGACGTTGCAGTAGGCCGGGCGGGTAACTTGACCCAAGTGTGAAAAAAACTCGCGTCGTCCGGCGGGGCCTCGTAGCTCAGGTGTTTAAAGCGTTGGCTGTACTTAAGCCTTCCCCCTTACTGCGTGGGTTCGAATCCCACCGAGGCGCTGAGATTTTCACAGTTTGGTCAACATGAATTATTCAAAATCTGCCAAAATATCAACGAAGTGATTTCGACACTAAGTGACTCCGTTGTTTTCATCAGTAAGCTTCTAATCAAAAAGCATGGCAACTCCGGCACCATTTCATGTTTGTAAACTTTTAGGGCATATCCCGTGTCGGGAAAATATCGGTGAAGAAAAAAGATGAAAGTATTATATCAGTCTTCGGGTGGTACAGTAAGTGCATAATTTGTTGTTGTCAAAAACTTCTTAAAAGTCATGTCAATGGAATTGATTTTTGCAAAACAGTTTTCGAAACAAAGTTTTTGCAAATGAAACCCTTTTTACACATGTTTATGTGCGTTTTCTGCAGTGGACGTCAACAAAGTTTTACTATTCACGGGACATTTGGGAACTGAAACGCGAAAAATGGAGATAAAGTTTACGACTGGCAGGGTGAATCGTGTTACCATAAATCCTTCCAATAAGCCAGAGGCCACGGCTCCAGTGTTAACCTTCGTCGACTACAAGCACGCCTTCAAGTGCACGAAAAATTAGTTCTGGGTGTTGGATTCACAATAATTTGAATGGCATTGTGTGGTTAAGGGCCGCTTTTAATTTCAATAAAGATACATGCATAATGTTTTTTTATTTCAGTCTGAGCATTACAAATTATGAGCTGTTGAACGTGCTACTAACTGCAGAATTTTAAAACGATCAGAAACATGTTAGTTGGTTTAACAATTCAAAATATCCAGAAGACGATACACGGCCGGGGCAGTCTATCAACAGTTGTTTGTGGGCTAACGGTGGGGATGAAAAAGTCAAAACTTTCAAGCCCAAGAACTTGTCATATCTGCTAATCTGTCAATAAGATTTTCTAGACGTTCCGCAGATGCTGCGCGGACAAATTGCCACAAAGTACCTATGGCATTTGCACAAGCGTATAAATAATTGGTTCTACTCCAGTTATATTCGTTTACTTATTATTGCGTGAAAATTGTGGGCTGCATATTACTTTATGTAATGTTACTGTTCTTTGAGATTGATAATCTTCATATACAATCCACATCAATGCGTGCGTTGAAATAGCAGTTTAGGCATGCGCAAAACGCATGTATAAATTTGGTAAGCGAACAAAAACTAGCTCAAGTTATTAGCGTATCTAGAGTAAAGAACCAATGCTCTTAAAGAAGTAATCAAGATTACGCAGATCTACAGTGCGTTACCTATCTCATGAAAGGATTGCTGAAATTATGAAATGCGTTTTCGATTAGGAAGGATTACTTGATCGCGGTTGTGATACTGATTATCATAAGACATACTCTTATAACATTTTAGACTCGGCAGGATGTCGGCTTTAAAATGCACTTCTTCTCAATCTCCTGTAGAAAGCGTGCTCGGTAAAAAATGACTACTTATGTAGCATGCATTTTCCCTTTGAATTACGATGGTCTTGGAAATTCAAATATATTTTATATTAACCATAAGCAAAATATGCTTTCTTATAGTCGATGAATAGAAATCACATCTTCTTTAAATTTGATACCTAAGCAAGGAGTATAATAAGGTTTTAAAAAAGTTTCCCTATTGCCGAAAAATTTGGAGCCTGATCATTCTTTGCATTAGCGCTTAGTGATTTCACTCTGCAAGGTGCATGCGTTCCACGTAAAGAAAATCCCGTATTTTTTATGTCATTAAAGAGATATTATGCAGGGTCCATGAAATTTTGCAATGGATGCGGACCATGTCGCACATTTCAAGCGGAGCAGTGGTAAACGGCCAGGTACGATGCTATGTGAATGGACCTTTCGCGATATTAAAAAGTCTCATAATTAGAAGCTTTTTTAAAATCTAATTTTACTCCTTGCTTAAGCATACAATATAAAGAAGACGTGATTCTCTATTGATTGACTAAAAGAAAGCATATTTTTGTTTGTGGTTTCTATAAAATATATTTGAATTTCCAAGACCATCGAAAATCAATGGGAAAAATGCATGCTACTTAAGTAGTCATTTTTTACCAACTACGCTTTCTTAAGGAGATTGAACAGAAGTGCATTTTAAAGCCGACATCCTGCCGAGTCTAAAATGTTATAAGATGATGCCTTGAGGTAATCAGTATCACAACCGCGACCAAGTAATCCTTCCTATTGGAAAACTCATTTCAGAATTTCAGCCAACATTTCATGAGATTGGTCACGCACTGTACATGCAACAATAACAGTCAAGTTTTAAACAATTTAGCGGTAATTTCTGCTCTCGAAATGCATTAAACTGATATTGAACAGAAGAATTTGTGAAATTACGGTGAACTACGCAATTAACACATTTGCAATCAATATGTTCAGCAAAGTAAAACGTTTTGGCAAGCAAAGTGGTTATTGAAATCCCCGAAGTACTATGTGTGTAGCGATAAGATTGCTCATTAGACTAGGCTGAACATTAACCGGTGGTATCCAGGCTTCTCTCAGACACAGAAGGGAATGCCAAACTACGCCAGTGAAGTAGCTCACTGTCGGATGTGTATGCCGTCACGCTTTCAGAATCGATTTATCGATCTGGCGTCGGCGTACAGAGCCTTGCCTAGTCAACTCCAGTCTTGCGCCGTCGGTCGATGATTGGCCTGCATGTCTTATAACTCTCGCTTGTTCTGCTGCTGCTGCTGCTGCCGCTACCTCTGACGGTGGACTTCTATACGAGTCTGAAAGCTCAGGACAATAAATACAGTGTTCCGGTGCTCGACTTTTCTTCACTGATGATTATT